GTAGAATCCAACTGGTATCTGTGGTTGGAGGCCAGGGATGCTGCTAAACATTCCACACTGCAGAGGACATCGCCAAACAACAAACAATTCCGCCCCAAATGTCAATAGTGCTGATGTTGAAAAACTCTGTTCTAGAAAGCAGAATTTACTAGTAGGATTCTTCAGAAGGAGATTTCAGTGAAGTTGAAGGAATGCAGATGCTATAAACGAGCTGAATGAGAACAGTTGTTTTTTTATTGTTAGTTTTTAAACCTTAACCACACTGTTCCCTTCTTTCTGGCCCATTTAATTTGCAAACATTTTATCCCATCTCCACAGCCTTCCTAACTTAACTATCTGCGTGGCTTGTCCAGTTTGGAATCATCTTTCTTTAAACCAAACTTCCCAGGCCCTCTTATATGCTTGACAAGGGGAAAAAAATGCTAAAGGGAGAGAAGGAAAAATTGTGAGGAACAACGAGAAAATGCAGGTGCATAGTAATCTCTCTCAACTACAATTCTTTTCATTTCAGCTAAATAAAGGTTAAGAGTTAACTGGAGAATGGGAGGAGGCAGAAGGTACAGAGGAAAGAGACATCCTACTCTGATCTGATTTTTCAGAGAATATGGTGAAGGAGGGGGGCACTACAAACAATTTGAATTTATAGACCAGATACTGAATTCAGAACAAAACCTGGGTGAGAGCAGAGAAGCACCTTAATTAAAAATACCATTTGGGCAATTAGCTGATTTTTTTTTTCATGTACCCTCAAGAAAACATGTCTATGGTAGCTCCAAAGCAAAAAACAGATTTTATAGTAAAACATCACTACATAAAAACCTTATAATGTATGTTAAAGTTATATACTGCTACTTCACTTGGATGGACTTGGCTAGCATAGAAATGAAAAACTGTTCTTTATTAAAACCCACCTGAAATGGCCTTAATACACAAAATAAATTTTGCCCAAATAAACTAGTAGGCAATCCTGTTTTATTTATCACTACTTCTCCCTTTGGGGGGTGGGTGTTGAGGGGTGCTGGGGATCAAACCCATACAAGCTTGGCAAGCACTCTATCTATGAGCTATAATCACAGACAGCTTCTCCAACCTAATCTTATATGAATTCATTGTACTACTTCCACATTCTTATTAGAATTACATGTGCTACAAAAAATTTTGAACCCACAAAGTGGAAACCTTGTAAAATAAAGTAAATTTTTAAAAATTAGTAAGCAATATATCTTGACCCTGCAGGTTTTGTACAGAGATAACCAGCAATTCTGTAACAAAGTATATTCTTCCTCAGAATAACAACTTCTTCACTCTATTCAATTTTTTCTTTCATAATTAAGTAAAAAAAAAAAAAATCAGTAACTGTCTAACTCTAGGTCCAATGGTTTTTTTTGGTAAAATTTTGAACACTCTAAATCCATTCATAACAAAACAAAACAAATGCATTTAATACCTATTAAATGCACATTCTACAGTAACTAAAAAGCTTCAGAGACATTTATAAGGAATTTAAGGAATGAGTTAGATTTAGCACTGGACTAATATCTATATGTATTATTTTCATTTAGGATATCCCTTTCCTTGTCTATAAATTACTACATGAACTTCATTATTATAGTGGTCTCAACCTGTCTCCATGAATCTTGGATACGCTAGTTTCAACAAAGAAATATTTTACAATTGTCCCATAAGGTCTGAAAGGTTTGACGCTCTGCTATTTCTCTGCTCTTATCTCTCGTAAAGTCCACCTCATTCACTCCATTCTAGCAGCACTGGCCATTCTGCTATTTGGTGAACATGACAGGAATGTCCTAGACTTAAGGTCTTTGAACTGAAGAGTTCCCTTTGTTTGGACCACTGCTTTTTCCCACAGAGCATATGGCTTTCTCCCATATATCCTGCAGGTACTTGATCAGATGTCATCCTCAATAAAGTAACCATATTATAATACATACTTGTTTTTGTCTCTCCATATCTAAAAGGGAAGATGCAGCTTTATATTGTCTACCACTGTATTACAAGTAGTTGAGACTTACCTGGCAAGTCCTAAACTGACTGACAATACAGTCCATCCAAGGTGTTCCTGTTCCAGGATATCATTCCCCCTCCCACAGACCAAAATTTGAGGATGCTCAAGTTTCTCATTAAAAAATGGTATGGTATTTGCATATAACCTATACAACATACTTTAAATTATCTCTAGATTAATACTTAATACAATGTAACTGCTATGTAAACAGTTATTATACTGTATTATTTAAGAAACAATGACAAGGAAAAGAGAATACACATTCAGTACTAATACAGTTTTTTCCCAAAATATCTCTCAACCATGGCTGGTTGAATCCAGATGCAAAACCTGTAGATGCATTGGCTTACTGTACATAGTCAAGTATATGGAAAGTCAGAGTGGTCAGTGACTGTTAAGAGCTGGTAAGAGTCCAACAATGCTCAGATACACCCATTTAATTCTGATTGAAGTAATTCCTACCCTACTTTTAAAAGCATTCTATAATAGTTAAACTTCCTTCTTATTTAAAAACAAATTAGTAGATGCCAAAGTAAATTTAAGAAAAGCTTCCAATATATTTGATTCAGATCACTGTTAGGGTAAACCATGGTGGATCATTATACAAATTATGGCAATTTACAAAAATTCTAGATTTAGCATATTATTAAGAGGAACTTACTAACTGCCTCTCCACTACTAAACTATTCAACATAATAACCTTTGTTTAAGGAAGGTTATAGACCTTCATAATAATGACCTTCTTTACATGTCTTTGTCTTATTTACTCGGAAGATCCTACATGATCAAAATGAATAATGATTTAGCTTCCAGCTGGAGTAAAAGAGGTGCCAATTCCAAAACCCCTGCAAGCCTCCTACTAACCAAAGCAAATTATTTTCCACATATTCACATTCCGTTTTCCAGATTGCCCTCTGGTGACATCTTCCCTCCCTTTAGGAATGCCCTACAAGTGAGATGGACATAATGGATCGAGAAAAGAAAACATCAAATAAGCAAAGAAAAGGGGGAAGAAAGAGCTAAAATTTCTCTAAAACACAAGAGATGACTTCAAACAGATAAGTTTTTGATTAGGCAAATACATAGCATACACAAACTATATTTTCTGTATCTTGTAAAAGAAGCCTCATCTTAAAATTCAAAGCATCAATTACATTTATACAATGGAGAAAGCCCTGGACTTGCTCTTGCTGCTGTAAGAGCACTGATAATTGGGTGTCTGATAAGAAGGCTGGGCTAGAATATTCTCTCAAGTCCTGCCCTTGCAGAAATCTGGTGTTTCAGTGCTAAAACTAAATACATGTGATTCTGCCTCTATCCCTAACTGCCTCCACAGTTCAGGAGAGAAAAATGTTAGTGGAGAACACATTCAATTTAAAATTTCTATTCTGTTTTTTTTTTTTTCTCTTACTGTATCTGCTAGAGTTTTTAACACTTCTGAAGCATTAACAGATAACAAAAAGTTTGGGTACATGTATTATTTCATTTAACCCTCACAAAATCAGAAGAGATAAATATCAGTATTTCTGTATTACAGACTAAAGTTTAAGGAAGTTATACAATCTGGGCAAGATCACAAAGTAGATAAATAGCAGGGTCTGCCTTTGACCTAAATGCTCTGGCTCCAAAATCTTGCTTCAACTATTTGATACACTCTCTTTAAGGGAAAAACACTAAAAAGAATTACTCTTTAGTTTCACTCCTTTGTATATGGCTGTGTGTTCTCCACTGGTTTTAATGCTTTATATAAAGCAAGCATTTTCCCTGTTTAAACTAGCAAAATTATTCTTAATTTTACGATTACAACATCATGACCTTCATAAACACAACCATTCCAAAATGGTCCTGAGAACCTCTGGTCTTCTGTTAGTTTTCCTGCACTCTTTCTTACACGGGAAAAACATGCTTAAGACTAATCTAATGTAACTACATGGGTTTGTTTACTAGTGATCTGTTGGGTGTGGAAAACAGACAAAATTTTCTCCCTTAAGTTTAAAAGAGGGCAAATCACATGACTACAGGTGTTGAGTTGGGACTGCATGCACTTCATCAGATCTCGGTCAAGGTTTTGTTCCTTTTCTTTCGGTGAAGTCTTCGTGAACCTGTTTCACGTGCAGCTTTGAGGGTTTAAAACAAGCACTGGGTCTTTGGGTCCCCGACACTGACCATAAGAGGCGGCAGCCCAGGCACGGGTGCACTTTCTGATCCTCGGCGCACGGCCAGATCCAGGAGTCCTTAGAGACCAAGGATCTGTTCAGGGACTTGCCAGGCCTCCTTTCCCCACGGGGCGGGGAGTTGGCATCGCTGTCCGAAGCCGCCCAGGCTCAGCCGCGCGGTGCACACCCTTCCCTCCAAGGCCCCCGGAATGCGCACGGGGGGACGGGCTTCCAGTCCCTTCCCACAGACCCAAAGACCAATTAAGCCCAACTCAGCTCCACTGGACGCGTCCTCGGCGGCCGGCCGAGGGCACTCACCATCGTTCTCGTCGCTGTGCCGCCGCCGCGACATGCCGCCGGCCCGTGCGCTGCCGAGCCTAGAAGCCGGGGGGGAACCGTCGAGCCACCGGCCGGCGTTGAGGACAGCAGCGAGGCACGCGGAGAGGACAGCGCGCAGGCGCACTCGCTCCCGAAGGCTCACGGAAAGCCCGAAGGGAGAGGCTGCCGGTGAGCGTAAAGCCGGCGTCTGGAGGCTCACTGGTCTACGGGCGTCCGGTCCGCACGCATCCGCCCCCTCGGGCTTCCTCCGCGGCCGGCGGCTTCCCTCTCCCGCCTTCCGCCTAGTGTCCTTCCGGGCCACGCGGAAGAGGCCGCCGCTCCAGCCAGCCAGAGCGCGCCGGCCGCGAGCCAAGTCTGGGAATTAGTGGTGCAGGGCCCGTTCAGTCCCCGCCCGGGCTCCGGGCACGCCCACGGGGCTCCCTTGCCCCGCCCCCCTCGTGTTCCCGGCGGCCCTTGCGCCGGCGCCCCTTGCACCGGCGCCCGCGAGGACTTCCGGAGCGAGGTGACGTCACGAGGCTAGCAAACGCGCGGCGTGGGTGTGGGCTAGAGGGCGGGGAGAGGTAACCATTGCTAAGCAGAGGCAGTTCCTCGAAGAAAAACCTAGGAAAGGCTCTGGACTGGCGGGTACGTGGCCATCTTACTCCCTCCTCCCGGCTTTTGCCGCCTCGGGAAAGCTGGCGAGAGGTTGGGCCAGGTCTGGCGCGTGGGGTGCGGCCTGGCGGGAGGCGGAGCCGCTCCGACAAACCCCTGGGATGTGGGCAGGCCTGCTGCTGTCTTGGCGGCTTTACCTCCCACCTGTCTGAGCTGATTAATAGGGACACGTGATGGTTTCAGTACTTTGTTTCCAGTGGTCCTTGGGTTCCTATTTGCGTGTGCAGTATATGTACATCCTCTGCCCTGACGTCTTTGATGAGCACCACACTGCCTTGTCCATGGTCATCTGAAATTGTACCCTCCTGGCCTAAGCTATTTCTCCCCCCAGTCTTACCTATTTCAGTAAATGGCATCATACTTCAGTTGCTTAACCCAAAAATGTAGGGAGGAATCATTCTTAGGTCTTTCATTTCCTATATAACTCTTATCCATAAACCGTGACAGCTGTACTTTTCAAATCAAATATATGATCAGATCTCTATTCCTTTGTTCACAATTCTCCCGTAAACTTTATCTTGCAAGCTACAAACCAGGGTCTGTAAGGTTCTGCCCTCATCACTGTGCTCCAACCACTTTTTTGCCTCTTTTAATGAGTCAATCTTGTTCCCATTTTAGCAGTTTACAGTCACTATTACCTGAAGTTGTCTTCTAACTCTATATGACTGATTTCTGGTCATAAGGGTTTCAGCTCAACTATCAGGTTCTCAGGCATTTCTCTTGACTATTCAATCATTGTTCTATTTCACTCAATAAGTATTGGATTGTGTTAACATTTAGCACCTCCTGTGCTCTAGGCAGTGTTGTAGATGCAGAGAATGCAGAGGTGAACAAAGGAAAACCCATCCTCTCTTGGAGCTAAATGTTGTTCTAAATGACCCATAAAGGAATGGGCACAAGTAGTGGGATCTGAGGTCTAATGAGCAAATGGAGAGTAGTTGAAGATGAGATCAGAGAGGTAAGGGGAAGAGATTTTGTGAGGACTTTGGACATTATCTGAATAAATTGAGAAGCCTTTGGAAGATAACCTGATTAGTTTTTAAGTTACTGTCCTGGTTTCTACAGGAAGAAGACTAGTAGGCTATTGCAGTAATTCAGGCAAAAAATGCTGGGGAACTGAAAGGTGGTGGTGAAGGTGGTACAGAGAAGTCTGCTTTGATTGTATGTCAAAAACAAAGCTGATAGGATTTTCTAAAGGGCTTGATGATCCTTTGAGAAAAATCAGGAGTCAAGAATCATCCCACAGTTTTTTGACTGAGGAAGAATAGAATTGTCTTTTACCCAGACAAGGAAGGCTGGAGAAGAGCATGTTTCATTTGGAGGAAGTACATTAAGTGAAGCTAGCTAGTGGTTAGATGAAATTGTGGGGAAAGAGGCCCAGATTGGAGATAACAGATTTGGAGTTGTTTATTATATAGTAGTCTAAATACAAATTTTCTATTAACATTTGTCTTTCCTCTTTTAATGGAAGTTCAAATATCTACCAAAGTAGGGGAAACTAAAGAACTCCCATGTATTCATCACCCAGCTTCAGTAGTTATCAGCTTATAGCCAGTCTGATTTCACCTCCCTTCCCCACTTATTTTGAAGCAAATATAGTTCTTTTAAGTAATGGGAGTAGATGATATCATCTACAGGGTGAATGTAATAGAGAAATTCAACATTTAAAGGTTAGGATGGTAAAGAGTTCAGCAAAGGGAACTGATACTACCTGGTATTTTCATGTTTTTATTATTTGCTTTTTTGTAGACTCCCCTTACTGACTCCAAGAGAACAGAAACTTCAGCAGTTTTATTCAGAGTTGCATTCCCAGTACAATTCTATGTGCCAGGCACATAGTAGAGGCTCCATATAGAATAGTTCCAAATATAGATATAAAGTAAGGTAAAACTGGAAGAAGATTCAGAATAAAGGGAGGTAATTTGGGGGTAGTGAAAATGCTGTGTGGAGAGCAAGAGGCAGGACAGTATCCTTTTTTAGTACCCAATCTTAGAAGTTACATAGCATTGCTTCTGCCATACTTTATTTTGGGGAGCAATTATGGGGCTGCCTAGGCTTAAAGAGAAGGAAAATTGACTAGAAATACTGATTGCAATTATTTTTGGAAAATATAGTCTACAGTTGCTGATTTTTAGATAAGTCAATTTAAAGTTAAATTTTAAATGTGGCATTACATTTAATTGAAATATCAACAGTGTTACTATTCATCAAAACCTAGTATGTGTCAGATGTGTCATATATTCTTTTCTAATGCTGTAAAGTAAATATTGTCATCCCCAATTTGCAGATTCAGGGAATTAAAACTCCAAGAAAGTAAATGGTTTGCCTAGGTTCAGATGCTTGAGAGCACAAGCAAAAGTCCATGCTTTTCTCAGTGTTCGCCTCTTAGCATTTGTAACCTGTAACAGTTGTTTTATAAAAGAATCAGTAAGTTGGTTGGTTGGTTGTAGTGTATCCATCTTGACAAGATTTGGCCACAGTAACACCTTTTTTTTTTTTGATGGTCCTGGGGATTGAACCCAGGGCCTTGTGCATGCGTGTCAAGCACTTTACAACTGAGCTATATCCCAGCCCCCACAGTAACATTTTGAGGTTTCTTCTGGCTTATTAAAATGGGCTCTGAAATTTGGGACAGCAAGAACAAAGTGTTATAATGGAAGATACTAGCACACAGCTTGGTTGATTTTGGTTGTACCTGGTGCTTTTCTGTATTTACCCTAAATGTGCGCATGGCTTGCTCCCTGGTTGAGGTTTCTGCACAAATGCTACTGTTTCAGAAAAGCTTTTCCTACTAGCTTTGTTTAAAGAGCCCCTCCATCCCTCTGCCTCCTTATCCTGCTTATTTTTCTTCATAACCCTTCCCAACATCTTTCTTTTTTAATAGTCAGGTTATTCATTTCTTTACCTTTCTCCACTGAAATGTAAACTCTAAGAAAAAGGAGAGTCTTGTTTTTCATTCACTGCTATATCCCCAATGTGTAGAACAGTGTGTAGCACTAAATAGTGGTTAAATGATATTATTAATTGAGCAGTCGAATGAACAGATAGCTTGGGCTACTGGGTCTGTGCAGATTTGCATAATTGATTAGCTCATATTTACTTAAGGAAATGAATAGACTTTGACATTGCTTTCTCTTTTGCTTATGTCCTAGGAAATACTAAACTGAAAGGAATCTCTACCCACTGCTAAAATCAATCCAGATGCCTTCTTCAACTGCACCAGGCCAAGAAGATGACCAAGAGGCCTGCATTTTAAGATTTTCTGACCTGGATTTAAAAGATAAAAGTCTTATTAATTCCAGCAATTCGCTCAAAGCAGAGTTAGATGGCAGTACAAAGAAGAAATACTCATTTGCAAAGAAAAAGGTAAAATTACTATCAATGTTTTCTGATCATGTGTATATAGTAATGCTGGTGCCTCTAAAATAGCTTCTTGAGGTTGCCCTCCAGCTCTAGTATGGTCTGGTCAGGGGCCTTAATTAGTGGTGTTAATTCAGCACCAGGCAAAGGAGATCATAGGCATAGGATGGCTCAGGAACAGTCATGGTATAGTATTTGAAGAGAGTATATCCTAGACAGATGGTTGGATTTCTTTCCTCACCAAGGATCATGAGAGGAATCTCAAGCACCCAGGACATGTAGTCTTAAGGAGAACATATAGGTTAGGGCATTTGTCATCTAGTGAGGCTACCATCTCAGGACTGTTTTATTGAACAGATAAAATAGTGAATGGGGTAAGATTTCTGAACTGGTCCAGCTGGCTGGGCTCCCATTATTTTGGAGAAAAGACAAAGCATCCCAAAATGCTGCACATTTACTTTGTACAGCTGGGACTTGGCTGTAATAAAGGTTGTGCTGATGCTCCTCTTCTGTGCCATTTATCCTTGGTTTTAGAAACCATTCATTGACTGAAACTCCCTCCTCTTAACAGCAGAGAACCTGGGTTCATGGGAAGGAACGTGACCTGATTGAGGACATATAATTGAGATTTAGCTTCAGTCTTTTGTCCTGTCTTGGAGAGGCATCTTTTCTGACTCTGTAACAATGAAGAGTAGATATCTCAGCTTGTGCCACCCTCCACACTCATCTCATATAGATTCCCTTGAAAATGAAACTCAACCAGTACAGTAAAATGTTAAACAACATTATTTTGCAATAATTTCAAACTTGTGAAAAATTGTAAACCACATATTCCCTGTGTCCAGAAGTTTCATTCACATTTCACTAATTGTCCTAAAAACAACCGTAATAGATACACTATAGGGTTCCATAATACCTTTAGTTGTCATGTCTCTTTAGTCTTCTTTAAACTGGACCATTTTCTCAGTTTTTCCCTTAAACCATGACCATAACACTTCTGAAAACTACAAAGGAGTTATTTCTTATAGTGTCTCTTGGTTTGATTTTGACTCATGTTTCCTTGTGTTTAGATTTAGTCTAAACTTTCATTAGCAAGACTATGCTGGAAGAAATGTTGTATTCATCTTGTTGCATTCTTTCAGGTGATTTATTATGTCATTTAATCCTATTACTAGCAATGTTAACTTTGGTTACTTGATAAGGAAATGTTTACCAGGTTTTTCCACTATAAAATTACTATTTTTTTTCCTTATTAATCAGTATTTTGGAAGGAAGTATATTGACCTTTTCTTTTTGCCTGTCATGAGAGATTAACACAGTTTCATGGTACCCCATCCTACTGTTTCAGTGCTAAACAGTTCAGGTTCAACTTTGCATAGGTTGAGGAAGGTCCAACAGTAATATTCTTCATCTATAATGTTGTCTGCAGAATGCCCTTTATGGATGGATAAGACATGAAATAAAAGGAAATTAGCCTTTTTTTTTCTTTTTATTTGCACCACCACTAAAAATATTGACAATAAAAAATTAAACAGTAATAAAATTCAGTAAAGCCACTTACATGCTATATTGATTAGAATATGAATGTAATTTTTTTGAAACTCACTATCGGAATTTAAAATTTCATGCCTTTTGAGTCCCCTTTTTTTTGTAGATATCTATCATAAGTAGATAGATTATTAAAAATGTATAGAAGAATGTATGCATGGAGTGTTCATTTGACATTGTTTATAGTTGGAAATATTGGAAATAATTCAAATATCCTTCAGTTGGTAATTGACTAAGAATTTTTTTAATTTTTTAAATATTTTTACAAAAGCCAAATAATTTTTATTAAAACAACATGGTTAGGGCCCAAGTTGTGGCTCAGTGAGGCACTGGGTTAAATCCCTGGCACCACATTAAAAATAAAAACAAATAAAATAAAGGTATTGTGTCCATATATAACTAAAAAATATTTTTTTTTAAATGGTTATTTTCCAAGAAACAAGTCAAAATATTTTGCTACGTTCCTTTTCAGTCTTTTTCAATGTACTTTTAAATGTTATTGAGATTACATTATATCAGCAATTTCTGTCCAATTTTTTTATTTAACATTGTGTCATAAGTATATTTTTCATGGAACTTAAAACTGCTTAATATTCCACAGTAAGTGTACTCCATAATTTACTTCAAAAATAACTTCTAGTGATACTTGCAGCATTTTACTTATATTTGCCAAAAATTCTGTATTTTTTTCCTTAAGAATAGCCCCTAAAAGGGCTTAAAGCATATGAATACTGTTGAAATTCTTGATATTTACTTTTAAATAAGTATCTCAGAAATGGAGTATATCAGTAGTATATTTTAATCTATTGGTAGTATACTTTAAAACCCACTTCATTTTACCTGTAACAGAATTAAAATATTTTAGAAAGTCATCTTATAGAAAGAAAATAAATAAAACTATGTAATATGTCAGATGATAAGTGTTATGGAGAAAAAAATTAAAGAAGTTTAAGAGGATTTGGTTTGCTCTTTTATGTAGGATGGTCGAGAAAAGGCCTCAATAGTTGGCATTTGAAGAAGAGCAAATGAGCAAGCACTCATATATTTGGAGGGAGAGCATCTCAGGCAAAGGCCATGGGGCAGAAGCCTGCATAATATGTTCAAGCCAAAGCCAGAATGTTAGAACAGTAGGAGATTAGGTGTGAGCTGCATGAGGAGCTGTGGGAGCTGCCACATAAGGAATGCATGCCTGTAATCATGGGAGGCTGAGGCAGGAGGATCACAAATTCAAGATCAATGTGAACAACTTAGTGAGACCCTGTCTCAGAATAAAAAACAAAAAGGACTAGGGATGTAGCTCCATGGTAGAGCACCCCTGGATTCAATCCTCTGTACAGCAAACAAAAAATAATATGGAGCCATGTTTCTAGGGACTGGTAATACATTGTAAGGACTTTGCTAGAGAGTATGAAGAGAGCCATTGGAGGTTTTGAGGATAGGAATGACATTATGATTTAAGATTTTTGTTTGTTTTTGTTATCCTTTTCAGTACTAGAGTGTTGTATGTGCTAGACAGACTATCTATACTCCTACCCCTTTTTCTAATACTTTGAGATAGGTTCTCACTGAGTTGCCCAGATTGGCCTTGAAGTTTCTAGCCTCCTGAGTAGCATGTTCCACTGCACCCAGACTTGTATAAGTTTTAAGGCAAATTATTTATTTCTGTATTTGCAGTGATGGGAATTTAACCCATTTGCACATGCCAGGAGGCAAAGGCTTTTCCACTGAACTACCTCCCCAGCACTCATATAAGTTTTGAAGAATCATTTTGGCTGAATGGAAAAGAAATCATGGGAATAAGTATGGAAAGGGGAAGACTAGGAGACTATTGTAATAATCCAGGGAAGACAGGATGATAGAAAAGCTTAAATGAACAGAGTAGTATCCAAGGGAGGTGGGAGAAGTGGTTAGATCCTAGATATTATTTTGGAAGAGTTGATGGGTTGGATGTAGGATGTAGGAGTTGAGGATGTTCCATTAATGTTTTTGAGTTTTTAATATATTCATCAGAGTGGGCTAGAACCTCTGTTTGCGTATCATAGATATTTATATCTGGCATGTCCAGTTTTTCCTCACTGCTTTTGTCAGGAATTTCCTCATTTATTAATTATGAAGGCCTGGACTGCAGTAACAAATAGACCCAAATCTGGATAGTGGATTCAACCCATTAGAAGGAGTTTGTGCTTGGGGGTGGGAGAATTCTCATTAACACACAAGTTTTTGGGGACCCAGGCTGATATTATCTCTGCAGTCCTTAACACATAGTTTCCAGGGATTCCATCCCAGTAAAACAGAAGAGTAAGAGGGAATGGAGGATCACATAAAAGATTTTTTTTGAACACAACACAATGCCTTTATTTTTATGTGGTGCTGAGGATTGAACCCCGGGTCCGCCGTGCTAGGTGAGCGCTCTACTGCTGAGCCACAATCCCAGCCCATCACACACACAAAAGATTTTTATGGACCTGAATTGTCACAAGTTACTTTTATTCACATTCCATTGGAGAAAACTTAGTTATACAGCCAAGCTGATTGTTTGCCCTATAAGAAAAGAAAATGGATTTTGTTAGGCAATAAGAGTTCTTTGTTATTTTAGAACTATCTTGTCAAGTTCCTAAAGGACAATTGTTTGACTATAATTGGTTATAAACCTGGTGTGACTATAATTGCATTAAATACATGCTTTAAAGAATTGATATCTTGATCAGGCATGATGGTGCATAACTGTAATCCCAGCAGTGTGGGTGGCTGAGGCAGGAGATCGCAAGTTCAAAGTCAGGCTCAACAACGTAGCAAGGCCCTAAGCAACTTAGCAAGATTCTGTCTCAAAATAAAAAAGGGCTAGGGATGTGGCCCAGTGTTTAAGCACCCCTGATTTCAATCCCTAATACCAAAAAAAAAAAAAAGAATTGACATCATTATAATACTTAATCTTTTCATTTACATAAGATTTTAGTGGCTTACAAAGAAGAAAGAGCATCCTAGACACTACATTTAGCAGAAGCAAAGCTATAAAGGCAGGAATATTTTAAGTCATATTAAAGGTTTAATAGATAGGTTCAATTGAACTAGGAATATTATAAGAGAAAGATTAGACTAAAAACAGAATGGGGAAAAACATTGCAAAGGAATGCCACTGTCTATCTTCTATACCAGGCAAGGGCATAAATCGAATTACATTGTTTAACATTTGTGTGATTCTTTATGACTTACTTTGTCTAGATGAAAACTCAGCACCTGAAGGTTGATTATCAAAAGATTTGTATCTATTCTTAAAGATACAGTGAACATTAGAGCCAGTATTTATAAATAATTGGAAAAAACCAGAAATTTCTATCTTTAGAATATAGAGAAATAGTAGGAAGTAGGAAGACCATAGAGGTGTCCACTAAAGTAGGCTCTGAAATTTATAAAGTAATTCTGGAAAATAGGAGATTAGCATAGCACATCCCACCTACAGGGAATAACATGGGCAAGGACTGGAAAATGAAAACGGCAAGGTGCCCCGATTTGTTCATGTGGCAGATACATGTGGTAGAGGAAGAGCAAAAGAGGTTGGGGGAGAGAGCTCAACTGTGGAAGGCCAGGAGGTGATGCCATGTCTTCCCATTCTGACTTTAGTGTATGGGCTGCTGCATGCAACACAAGGCCAAACTAAAGTATATATTCATTCCAGTGTGACTTAGATTTTGCATCCTGAGAATAAATTTATGGTGCTGGGGACTATTTAAGCTCCATAATGTAAAGCACTTGGTTTTAATTTCTGTATTAGTCTCTTCTGAAGCTTACTAATAAGAGAATTATTACTGTCTCGGGGAATTTGTCCATAGAATAGTGGGACGTAAAACTAGAAATGCCTGTGGATAAACAAAATAAAAGATTTCATTAAAATTTGTATTACCTATAAACTTAAGGTTACTTAATAGTGATATTATTTGAAATGTAATTGCAGGCCTTTGCCCTTTTCGTCAAAACCAAACAAGTTCCTGCACCTTCTTATGAATGTAAAGAAAAATGGTGGAAATGCTGTCAGCAGCTATTCATGAACCAGACCAGTATCCATAGACATGTGGCAACACAACATGCTGATGACATTTATCACGAGACTGCTTTTATTTTAAAGCAACTTGCTGCAACATTGAGTACCTCAAAGAGTGTCACATCTGCAAACAAAAAGAACCCACTAAAAGAGTATCTCACTCATAGCCATGAGGTGTCTGCATGGCTGCCTGACATAAGCTGCTTTAGCTCTGATGAACTGAAAAGGTAAGATTTCCATTTGGTATTTTGGTTTTGACTTAAAAATACTCTTCCAGCCACAGTGAGATACTACAACCCTCCCACTTGTGGGAGATAGTCACGTCATGTGACCAGCGTTTTTCCCCTCCTGATAAGTTGAGGCACTGTCAGTAACACCCCCCCCCC